AATAAGGGTACTTTGACAGACATTCCAATATGTTATATAACTGCAAAATATGTAGCAAAATACATGAAATGTGATGTTGCAGAGCGCTTTGTGTGTGTGTACTGTTGAGTGAAGACATGCTGAGGCTTCTGTTCTCCTTGCAATTGTTATTATGGATACATTTATTTGTAGCAATAATGTGACTAAAACACAAATTGTTCTGCTCACAGAAAAACTTTGCCGTCCATAATATATCCATGTAGAATAGTTTGATGTTTTGGCATTAATAATGGGGCAATTTCCAGTACTTGATGTACTTTCTGTCAAATCTTGTGTTTATATGATTCATTAAAAAATTCTCCTACCCAGATTTTGTGTGTTCACGCCGTTGACTCTCAGAGTTGTCTCTATACCTTATTCCATAGAGTATAATTTTGACCTTTTTTTTGTTGTTATTGTTTTTTAAATCTGAAAGTTTTGTAACTCTTGAAAGAAACTGGCGAGTCCTAAGCTCCAAAAACCAAACTAAACCATCAGGCAGATGGCGGGAACAGTAGGAATTGGAAAATAAAGAGCTTGGTATGTTCTAAGAAAAAGAAGGTTATTTTAGAAATCCACAAAAGATCACAAGATCAAGAAATCACAAGAGATAATAAAGGTTCCAATAAAAAACGCTGATGAATTTTAAAGTATAGTCACATATTCTTTTGGTCAGATTTGGTCAAATCCTGCAAAATAGCACTTGTACAGAAGAACAGTTAACTAAAATATATTGAAATGTATGTGAAGTCAAAATGAAAGACAGAGAGATCCACAAAGAAGCAGTTGTAAAGGCCTCGCAAAATATCGTCAAGGAGGAAATCTGCTTTTTTATGTTCGTGGATTCCAGGCTTTAGGCAGTCATTGCCTGCAAACGATTCTTGAGTATCTGCACTTTAGTTGAATTTGCCGTCTGTGTTGACATAGAAAGCTGAAAATATAACAAGTTGTGCCTCTATGTGATGTATAACTTATCACTGTAAGTCGGGCTGCTGTAAATCACAAAAATAAATCACCACTTTACTGAACCGAAGAAAGGGAGTGTTGTTCGTCAAGCAAAACAGCCGAGAAATGAATGTAGGCGGAAGGAAGGCTGCGTGGAAAAAAATAAATCACTGTCATTAGCTCCTCTTCCTGTCCTGAGTAGTGTAAATAGTTTTGTCAGCACCTTTAACACCACTACTGGGACAAAGAAATGACTCGGAAAAGATAAAATTACCCTTTTAATTTTGGCAGCTACTTTTTCTTGACATCGCTGCCAGATGGAGATATGCAGTGAGCGTCTTCTTAAAATGAGTCAACAGTTGGACAGGTTAGAGGCCAGTTTTATAATTATAATTCTCACTGAGGCACGGCTGTCAGAACCTACAGTGTTACATAATGGAATGTTTCAAAACCGTTTGAGGGAAGTTTTCATGTAGTTCCTCTTGAATCTTAATGAGTGGAAGTGTGTTTTTTGTTTTTTTTTAATCTAAAACAAGGATTCCTTGATCAACTGAAAAGTTGGTATTATGTCATGTTAAAATAGAAAGTGCACCCTCTTTCAAGGTTTATCCATCATCATCAAATTAATCCGACCCTTACTTGGCTCTAAAATAATTTAAGTCCATCCTTAGTAAGTTTAATATTACGTTTATTGAACAACAACAGGTCTGGGGATATTGGGTTTGGTTGATGTTGACTGGACCATTGGATCTCTTTGATTCTTTTTCTGATGGAGATTTGATGGTTTGCTCAGGATAGTTATCCTGTTGCACAGCCCAATATAGGTCAAGCTTTAGTTGTTGGTCAGATTGGCCAATCACACTGTCTTGCATCCAATCACATTTGGTTAGAGAATACTTTGATAATACAGAAAGGTTCATGGTCCACTCAATGCAAAGCGCCCAGGGTGCAAGACAAGCCCATATCATTATCCCTCCACCACCATGCTTCACAGTTGTTATGAGGAGTTTGTGCTTTGTTTTTTGCCAAATGTTGAATTGTGCACTGTGGCCAGACATCTCCACCTTGGTCTTGTCTGTCCAAAGGACATTGTTCTATAAGTCTTGTGGTTTGTTCAGATGCAGACTATGCTGTGCTTCCATTTTCTTTTACTTCTGGCTGCACTTCCAGACAAGCTATACTTTTTTTGGTCTTTTTCTAATTGTACTCAGATTGTAGCTCTTGGGTTTTTAGCTGCTGTTTACCCTCTTAATTACTATGGAAGAAGTAAGGGTGTACATACTTATATATTTTGGCTTAGTTATTGTGTTTTTGTTCAACTGATGTATTTAGCTAATAAGAACAGAATAATAATAATAATAATAATAATTATTATTATTATTATTATCATTATTTCCTGATATGTAAAACCTTGAAGATGTACTTTTTTCACAACTGTAACTAAAATTGAGCAGTTTTAAGGATTTTATTGCCATTTAAAATGAAACCTTAAATAGGGAAAATGTAAGCTTTGGTAAATATTTTAGAGGTTACTTCCAGTCAAAGGGTATCTATATCACATATATGCACCAGTGCGTTTCTTTACATTCAGAGATTCAGAGCTTTTCTTGCTCTTGATATAGTCTCTATTTGTATCACTTCAGGCTGTTTAGATTTCATTTGGACTTTTTATGTGTCCAGATGCATTTGCTGCTGCAGTGATTCATCTCTCAGCATGGATATATGCATGCTGGACAAATTCAAGCACACACCCAAAATCCAACTGGAAAATTTAGCGCAGCCCTGATAAAGACCTGTAGACATTTGGTGAATTTCCTTTGCCAGTCTGTTTAAACATATATAATTGAGCTGTTGGGAGATACAGTGCCTGACTTTGTGTTTGCAAAAGCTCTATTAAAACCTCTACTCTACTTGGTGTGATTATGAAAAATGGAGCCCAACAGGGAAATTATGTAAACAGACTGTTTGATTTGAATTGAAGGTCGAGCTGATTTCTGTTGTTTGTGGCCTGACAAATGGCTATTATGTAGCCCTTCTGCTTGTCCAAACATCCCAAGTGCTTTTAGCATTCATGTGTTTTGAAAGACTCTGATTACACCTTCTATAACATCCAGTGCTTCCAATGTGTCAGGAGACAACAGACCCTTTTCATGACTGCAGATTCCAAAGTGAGGTAACTTTTCAAGGATGAAACCTTGGTGCTTTTGATACTTGAGATATTTTGCGAGCAGTTCATTCTAAAGCTTCTTTTGTGCAGAAAGGTTTTCATCACCTCGGTCATGAATAAGGTGAACAACAGATGCATTTGTTGAATTTTAATCTACTAAGTTGCTTTCAATTCTCAAGAATTCTTTTCTTTTTTTCCTCTTCTTTTTTTTTTTTTTTGTTAGCTTTACAGAGTCAGTTTTAGTCCTCACATCGTTGGAGGTTGATTATTCTGTTGCTAGGAGAAATGAACCAATGATGCAGTTCCCTTATTCTGTACATGTGAGTCCATGCGCCTGTATGACTGGGAAATTACTGCCCAGTTATTTACATCCTCACACTGTCATCTATCTGTACACATTAACACAAGGATCAATCCTGCTCCCCCGCAGCCGTAGTTTACCAAGGCTGCTAATGGGCCTCTATCAAAGCTCAATCATAATGAAACAAAAGGAAATCACATTAGAGCTTCTGTGATTCGGCTAACCAGATTGACACACACAAGGATGATTTCCTAACTGAGATTAATAGTCCCAATCATTCCATTAATATGTATGTTCCGGTGTTGTTATAGATACTAGATTTGCCATGTACGCTGGAAGAGACTGGCGTCAAAGCAGAGGAATGAGGCCAATTATGTACTGTCTGGTTAGCACAAATAGGAAACAAAGCATTACAGGTGCTTGGTTTGTTTCCCTGGAACTGCTCATTAAGATGACGCCAGTGGGGTTATGGTGTGAGGTTAAATAAAGCTGCGGGTGGATCATAGACACTTCACTGAGATCATCCCACTGATCAGCACACCCACTTTCGTCTTTAAATACCTGTGCCTTTGTTTGAGTGCCATTACTCTTTTAACTTTTTATTTTCACCAGATTATGAAAGGTTAAAAAAAATTAATTTCAGTTTTACAAAGTCACAGTTGATGGGCTTAGATGGCTTTTTACTAATAGATGTTTGACATAATTGCTTGAAAACTGATTTGATAGTTGACTGAAAAATTGTAGCAAGGCTTTTTTTTTCAGTCTCAATTATTTTCTCCATTACAATTTGCTGTGTTTCATTAAAGAAAACTATAAAAATAAATCAGTTTCCTATAGAGGAAAAATCTCTGGATTGCTCTTTTTATGTAGCTTTTTATTAGAGCTTTGTGTTTTAAAAATCTCAGAAAATATTATTTCTGAGTAGAAGAATTTTTTTTTTCCAACCAAAGAAATAAAAACCGTTTTAGCTTCTCAAATGTGATAATTTGTTGCTTTTTTGGTCTTACATGTTTTTGCCGAGCAAGACAAAACATTTGGTATAACAGCTTCTGTTTGCGTTTCAAGAGCAAAGTAATAATAATTAAGAAAATAACAAGTAAATTAAAGGACATTGAAAGCCACCAAGTCCCAAAGTTTTTATGCCTCCAATAAAACAGCAGATCAAGTGTCAGGATGCTGGCTTATCAAACCCATGACTTTTAATGATACTTTAAACTGAATTACTTTACTTGTACCTTCTGCATTAAGTAAATGCACAACATGCCAGCAAACCCTTTGTGAATTATTTAAGTGTATCTAAGGTCAATTAAACCATGTTTTTATGATGGTTTTAAATCCACACAGTACAAAATGTACTGCACAGCTCTGCAACTGTGAGCCACAGAACATGTTCCACAGTTCCTTAATATAGTAACTGAGGCCGCATTTGCTATTCAGTAATCAAAATTTTATCATGTCAGAATTTCTAATACGTCTTTAGTAAACAGTAAGTAGGGTCAGTTGACAGCTGCTCCTCTGAGCTCTTTAATTTCCTGCCTAATAGCCACTTCAAACAGAATACATACTCACCCTGTATCGCGCCGAGCGAACACAATGCTCCAGCATTAAACGGGCATGTGGCCAAGTGTTTGATAGGTTGTTTTTCTTTGACTTCGTCTTCAGTTTGGCAGAGTTGGCTCTGTAGATCTTCCCTTTGACTGTTTGCCTCACACTTTCTCTTGTTGGCTTTCTCTTCCCCTCTCCTGTTCTCTCTCGTTGACTTTTTTCCTCTGTGCTCTTCTCTCCAACGAGGTGAAAAACACATTTGCCAAATATAGGTAGGTCATCACACTGTCTCGCATCCTCATCAGTTGCTAAGTACAAAGCACTTCGATGCAAACAGACCGGTCAGCATCATCGGTGCAGTAGGCTCTAGCTCCTCAATATTCCAGCTTCGTTCTGAGAAAAGATGGTAAATGCAACAGCTGTTTGGCGTCAACGTCCATGTGACAAAACTGCTGAGGTGCCTCGATGCTGTTCAGACATTTTTCACAGAGAATGACTGAAAAAGAGCTCCTCGTTATCACGAACAATGATCAGCCGAAGGTCTCTTCGAAGAGTCTTCTCTTTCACTGAAGATGAACTCGTGAGCTCGAAAATCTTCTGAAAAATCAAAGGTAATTTCTCAGCTCCTCACACTTTCTGCAAAGTTATAGCAACTCCACTGGCAATGGAAGTAAGTAAAGCTTCTTCAGTGCTCAGGGCTGCGCAGACAGACTTTTTCCCTCCCAACAGTCTCCTGCTTGCTGCTTCTGAAAACCCTGCTTGGATGCAGGCTGCACTGTCATCCTCTCTGACACGCAGATTCAGCCGTGAGCAACTACTAGGAAAAATTCCCGCATAGGTTGAAGCCTCCTGTATCAGAGCACTAGGCAATATGTAAGACAAGGGAGGAGGAGGTGAGGAGGTGGAAGAGGTGGAGTAGTAGGATGAAACATAGGGGGAGGAGCCAGAGGAGGAGCTCACATGTCTCAGTAGCAGTTCAGCATAAGCTGAATGTTTGCCTTTGCAACGGCAGACCTGTATGTCTTCATCACAGAGAAATGGCTCGCTTCTCAATCAGCTACACATGTCCCACTTCACGATGGTGTTTGGTAGTCCTGAAAGCCTTTTGACCATGCGCCTCTTGTAGGATTTTTAAATTGCTTTCTCTGTTTGTTTTGTGGGTTTTTTGGAATGAGCTTCCTTTTGCAGATAAGGTTCTTGCTGTAGTTACAAAGTAAAGAGTGCAAACATTGTTTCCTTCTCAAGGAAATGTTTTTTTGTTTTCTTTTTTGAGATGAAAGTCAACTTGCTTAGAGTCTCACTCTATCCTCTGCGAGCCATGGATTAAATCTGAGTAAAAGTTCAACAAAATCTTTTTTACATTTATTGTGACTAAGAAAATAATTATATGTGGATCTAAATAACATTTCTCTTATTTCATGGTATGCTACGAATCATCTCCTTATCAATCAAAATCAAACATAAATAATGCTGATTCAGTAACAGGAACATTTTAAAATAGACAGGCAGTTATAAAGATTCTAGGGTTTTTTTCAATAACTGCTTAACAAGATTTAGGTCAGTGTTTTTGGCTTAAATTTTGGTTGTGGCTGAAATCTACCTTTTTAGTCTGTTGTTGATAAGGCCATGCAGAAATATCTGTTTGCTGCATTGATTCCCAAGCAGCTCTTCATATTAGTAAGCAGGGCCCACTTAAAAGGGGAGAACTTCTGTGTCTGCTGCTGACATAATGAAACAAACACATTGATGTAAATTGTATCGCATGTTGTCAGCACCAGTCACGCGTGTAACAAGTTGAAGCAACATACTAGTGAACAACAAGGATCTTTGTGGTACTAGATGTTATTTGTGCTGTATTTCCGTGTCAGGGTTACAAAGTCAGCTATAGCTGGATTTAGAGTTTGGAGGAGGGACAAAGAGTTGCCCCTTATCTTCAGTATCTATGTACACAGGCTCTGAAGTTGCACTCTGACTTTTTAGAGCTAGGAACAATCACAGTGCAACTGTTATAACAGCTTAATGCACCAAATGACACAGATGCAGATCTTCTCATCATAGCTTTTATCACGCAACCGTTTCTGTTGCCAATGTCAACAAATAATACTAGGTCAGATATGACGTATAACCGCTCAGTGTTTTAGTGACGATATCGGCAGTTAAAAAGATACCTCCATGTTTACTTATTGGGAACAGTCCCTTTTATTCTTTTTGCGAGTAATCCAGGCTAAATCCCTAAATTCTTTTCATCCCAGACATAAAAACATTTGTAAGTTATTGCCGGATTTGTTTTCAGCAGCACGAATAGGTCCTAGTCGAGCAAGTGGAAATGATATATTTCAGACCTAATTAAAACGAAAAACAAAATTTTGGCTTGACGAAGAGTTGCAGAAACTTGGTTGGAACCCTGCTGCTTAATTAAACACTAACTGAAAAAGGACATTACGAACTCTAGAGTTAATACAGTAATGTTTATCCAAGTTGTGGAAAAAATGAAGTCACTTGGTGCATAATAAATTCCCGTGCTGGCATAGATGAATCTTTTTCACAATAAAAACAAAGGAATTAGTTTTGAAAATGATTGCTGAATTATGCTTTTATGAAAATGGAGGCCTTTTTTCCTATTATTCATCACCCTGTTGCCCCAGTCAGCCTCCAGACCCACTCACTGAAAGCGCATATGTCCGGCTTTTTCACAAATCGCATCTTGCTTGAGCAGCTGATTCTTCTGTGATTAAACTGTGTGACTAGAATGGGCTGAAGCTTTTTCCCTTTAATGTGACTATATCATGCATGTTCCTCTGAACCACCGATTCACTGCCTTGCTATTGATTATCCCAGATATTGAAAATGCACGCATATGGATTCCTCAGTTTCTTCATGTAATGAGGCACACATATACAGTGGGGCAAAAAAGTATTTAGTCAGCCACCGATTGTGCAAGTTCCCCCACCTAAAATGATGACGGAGGTCAGTAATTTGCACCAGAGGTACACTTCAACTGTGAGAGA